CTATTATTTATGTACTAACTATTAATTATTTATATTTAATTAAAGTAAGTAACTTGATTATTTATATATAATTATTCATATTTAACTATTTAAGTATTAAATATTATTAATTCTGGATTATATATTTTAGTTTTATTTTAAGTTAAAATGATAGTAAGAGTATATATTTTACACATATTTTTATTTATTATTAAATAAGGCATAATATACATTTATCAAAATGTGAGTTCAAACATCAAAAGTATCTTTGTTGATTTTAATTGTAATGAAATTGGAAATGGAAGCTAATTATCTTCTTCTTGTTCGTCGTCTTCTTCTTCTTGTCGCTCAAAAATGTTCGATTCATTGTCATCATCCTCATTATCTGTCATGTTCATCTCCAAACCTTCCAGAATATCGGGATCATATGTATTTTCTTCATCGGGATTACTTGGATACAGTGAAGCGTTGAGGCAAGCTTGTCCGTTGCACTGGCCGCAAGCTAAAGAACATTGTAGCCCTGATTTTCTGCATCCACAGCGGGAACCACAACCATTTTTGCAATTGCAAAATATTTCGTTTAGTAGTTCGGCTGGTGCTGGAGGTAATAACGTTCGTATGGGCTCCAGGATTTCATTTTCAAGCATCCAGCCCCATTCTTGAGGTTCTAAGTCCTTCCCTAACCACGTTTGAATCTGGTAGTAGACACGTTTTATGTGTTGATGAGCTGCTACACTTGTTGGTGGAAGTGTTGACAGTTGTACAGGTTTATTTAGTTTTGTAAATTTGATGAATTGCGTGTAGCGGAAATGATCAATGTTGTCCTCAGATTTTGGAGCATTATATAATGCCAACAAGATGCGCACTCCATTTTCTAATAATGTTTGTTTTGGGCAGTTTTCTTGTTGAAATACTTCCACCAGTTTATCTAAATCAGGATTTTTTTTCCAATGCTCTAGTAACAGTTTTTTTTTCCTTTTTTAAATAGCGCAGAAGTCGTGTCACAGCCACTGAATGCGTGTAAAAATAAAATTTACGCGTTTTAAAGAAAAGATATATAATGTCGTGTTAACTTAAAATAAAACTAAAATATATAATCCAGAATTAATAATATTTTATACTTAAATAGTTAAATATGAATAAATATATATAAATAATCAAGTTACTTACTTTAATTAAATATAAATAATTAATAGTTAGTACATAAATAATAGGCATTGTTTAATAATTATAATTTCCAAGTAAATAATTGACTTTATAACGTACTGATAACCATAACTCACGCTTGACCTTGCATTAGGCCGTATATGACTGTACGATGTGCACTCTTCGCGCTCTACCTTCAAAACGGTTGGTCGTATGAAAAAAAAGTTTTAACAAAAGTTGTAGGGAATTTTATAGCCTACAACTTTTATAATAAATGCAAATCTCATTTAACCGATAGGAAGCCAGATATTCGCGAAAAAACCGATTTTTGTGACCTTTGACCTTGAATATCTTGAGACGCGGACACGATAACGATTGTGACTTTTGAGACAACATTTAGAATGACAAAACAAAGGTTCATACCAATTTGCAGCTTATTATCTTTCATTCCGAGGTGAAAGCCCTAATATGACTGGGCTATAATGCAACTATGCAATATAATAATAATATGTTGGCTATTTAGATTATGAATTATAATTTATGAATTACTAAGTTTATAGCCAATTACTTTTAAATTATTCATCAATATATTGTTTCTCGGCAAAAGTAGTATAGAACGCCCAAAGGCCAGATGGAGTGACGAGAAAGATAGCTGGCAGGCTAAAATCGATGTAAGTGGCGTGCAATGGGAGAGGCCTACGCCCAGAATTGGACTGCGATAGGCTGATGATGATGATGATGATGATATTGTTTCTTTTATAAAACGACTCTAGTAAAATTTTATATGTACACCGTTCTCTAGTTTCTCGGCCAAGAAGTTACTCTTCTATATATACATATGCTTATTAAAACTACATTTTGTTCTAATTAGAAACGAATTCCATGCATAGTTGAACTTGGTGTCTACCTTAACAGAGGCAAAGTCTTACGATACTGATATTAGCGGTATCCAAGTCTAGTTTTATATTGCAGGTTCTAATAATGTTTAGGTATATGAATAAATTTATCACAATCAAGTATTTTTACACTTGGAAATAAAATAACTTTTCAAAATTTCCTTTAGAATTTCAAATATCGTTGATGCTGTAAACCAAATAGTATAAGTGTAAATAGCAAATAACAGTAATAATATATTTGGATGACAAAAAGCTATACTTCGGTTGAAAACTATTCAAGTACAAAATAAAGACATGGTTGATTTAGAGCAAAATCTGAACACTCACGTAACCACTATTGGTTATTAAGTAAAGAAGAAAAAAGATATGCATCGGAACTACTTTGAATTTTTTTGGTTATCCAATTCCATTTCTACAAAAGAGGTTACTAAGTCGATGAGAAAAATTACTTCCTCATATTCTGCTCACGTAACCACTATTGGTTATTAAGTAAAGAAGAAAAAAGATATGCATCGGAACTACTTTGAATTTTTTTGGATAACCAAAAACGCTGTGAACACATAAATGTAAACTTTAAGCGTTGGATTTGATTTAAACAGTGGATATTGTTACATTTCAGACCTCGCTTTACCTTTGTTGAGGCTTGTTTATTAAACTTTTCCATGTACGTTTATTTGCATCTGACATATTGCTATACATTCTTAAAATTTATTTCTTGTAAATGTAAAGCTTGTAATATGTAGATTTACAGGTTACGATTTTTAGTTAAAAAAAATGCTTTAATCATTTTCTGATACACTGGATATTTACATTTAAAAGTGCTAGATCCGACTAAAAACCGCACGCCGTCTCGGGTACCAGTTGCCGGGGAACCAGGTGTACCCTAGGAAGGAAATCCCTGATACCTCGACGTACCTCCGGCCATCTACGACGTGTAAATGATCCCCTCCTGTGTAGACATATTAACGCTGGCATATTAACATAATATTAGCAGGTACCATACACTGTGGTAGTGACATATTTATTTCGAATGTTATCTTTCAACATAATGTAAATATCTGTACCGATGTAGTGCATCTGCGGCAAGAAAACCGCTTTTAGTACTCGCTACACCCGTATGTGTATTGGACAAACAACTTGCCTCTCATAAAAGCCACTCACTGACGAGGCGGTAGAAACGTGTTTACAGGGTCAATAGCAAGACGTGTATTCGGGGAACATGTTAGTAGCACTGTGCGTTATGTTCAATCCAATAAAGTAGTAGAAATTACGACCAATTTAACTTCGTTTACCTGACAGCACGTATTTCAGCAGTTAAAAGAAATATACCTAGAATATATTTAAGAATTCATTAGATCTTTCGGAATGCGTATATTTTTTATGGATCTACAGCTGTTAGGTTTTTAACATATAGTGTGTGAAACTTTATAAATAAATATCTTCAACTTCATAATACTATCATTGATTGTTTTAAACTATTAACTAGCAAATGGCAAGTATAATTTTTAACGAAACTAAACAAGTTTAGTGCCGATTAACCGAGATGAAAAGAAACATATGTTTTGCAACTCATATTTTTTTCCGGATGATTAAAATTTAAAGCGGACGTGGTTTATTTGATTGATCTCAAAGTAAATAAAACTCAAATGGTTTAAAATATAGAAAAATAACTTTTTCTACTGAAAAAATGGCTACTTCTTTTATAATTGTTAAAAAAAGGTGTTACGTTTAAGAAAATCTCTAAATATAAACATCCGTAATCAATCGTAAAAAAAGAAAAACACATTTCTTTTTCTGTTCGTATTGTATTCTCTCATTAATTTAATTTATTGCCTTTTTGTGTTATGTGCTTCTTATAAAACAAGCTATGTAAAATAAACTACAGAAATGAATGAATATTCAACCTTTAATTTTTTTATGTAATATTAATATCTGATGTTGCCAATATTTATTTATTTACTTCTTTTGCACAAACAACAATTCATTGTACAATGGCGGACTTAATGCCACAGGCATTTTCTCCTTTGGGTGGTATAAAAATGTCTGAGTAGGTGCACTAGAAATTAAGTCTTATATGTAACGAGATAATAATAATTATGGATATGGACAGAAACAGTGTGACAGATATACATACATACATACTGAGATACACATACATATATTCTTGCTGAGTTACATACATACATATACAGATACATATAATACACTATACTATACCTACTCATTTATTATCATTCAATAATTTTTGATTACATAATATTATGTAGTCAAAAATTATTATAACAAGTATATAAAAATTATTAACGACATTAAGTTCTATAAAAACGGAAATATTTGATTTAACAGTCTATGTAATTTCTCTTCTAGAAAAGAGATGAATGAAGAAACACCTGTAAACTTATATAGATTAAGATAGATAGAGAATTAAGAATTATTAACTTCTTTCCAGATCAGTTGGATGCAAGTATAAGGTTTAAGAAGATGTCGAAGTAAAAAACCAAGCGCATGATGTTAGATACCAATGAATTGGAATATGAATCAACTACCCTATATAACGCCCTCGAAGAAAAAAATGTAAATGCATCTGCGACAAATGAAACATGGCCAGATTACGACGTCTGCAATTCAAATGCATCTTCAGAAGACTTTCTAACCTCTACAGTTTTTCAAACATGTGTTTATATAATGTATTCGACCGTCTTCATAGTAGCACTTGTTGGGAACGGACTTGTATGTTTTGTAGTGAAAACTTCACCTCGTATGAAAACAGTTACGAACTACTTCATTGTGAACTTAGCTGTAGGTGATATTCTAATGACATTGTTTTGTGTTCCATTTTCATTTATATCACAACTCGTGCTTAGGTACTGGCCTTTTGGATTGATTATGTGTAAAGTAGTGAATTATTCACAAGCTGTATCAGTACTTGTCAGTGCGTATACGTTATTAGCAATATCGATAGATAGGTATATGGCTATAATGCGGCCCCTTAAGCCTCGTCTGAGTAAAAGAGCTGCAAAAACCGTGGTGGCTGCAGTATGGGGTGGAGCGTTAGCAACAGCGGCACCGGTTTCTGTAGTGTCACAGCTGCAGAGGCCTACCATGTGGCATCAATACTGTCAAGCGTAAGTAATTTGTTTTCATTTCTGTTATATTATGTTTAATGTCCGTGTAGTGACGGATTAAGAATACGGAACGTCACTACCCCAATTCATCCCGTGGGTGTCGTATGAGCCAACTAAGGGCGCAAAACAACGCAGGACACCAGCACTGCAAAAAGAAGGAAAACATGACACAAACCCTATACCAACCCGTCTGGCCAGCGTGGTATAGTAGGCCAAAACCTCCTTTCTAAGGAGAGGCCTATGTCCAGTAGTAGACTATTAAAGGCTGTTGATATGTTTAATAAGGACACTTAACTACACCTGACAACGTGAATCCCAACTTTCTTTACAGAAAAGCATATGTACTTTAGCGAATATTTAAATAAGATGATTTTTGTTTTAGATAAATACTTTTGCATTTTAGAGATTTCTTTAAAATATTGAGAATCAACGTAAGTGAAATCAGATTGATAGTGCAGTTACTAATCTGCGTAATTAGTAGAGTACTAAATAAGCAAAATTCTTTCAAATTCAGTTCATAAGCGGAAATAGACATAATGAAAAATAAAAAACATTTTAAAACTTTTGTAACATTATTTACTTTCTTAACTTTTTGCCTTGGAGTTAAACAACGTCGAGAGAGCATAAAATGTCATCAAGTGTCACAAAATGAAAAAGTTTTTAAAGAACCATAGCTACCCGTATTTATTTATGAGAATTAAAATATGAAAATAATAGTTACACTATATTTGTAAGCTAGTACGCATTAATTCCAAAAAGAGTGATCGGATTTTTACTATTGTTAATTTAAAGGGAAAATGTTAAGTGTTTACAAAGTGCTTGTGTTGGAATTTTAAACTAATGTATAATGTTTACAGAGATATGTGTTTGGAGCAATGGGAACATTCATGGCAGAGTACACAATACACTATCTCGCTATTAGTTCTGCAGTTTGCATTGCCACTATGCGCGCTTATTGCAACTTACGCGCGAATAGCTTGTGCGGTGTGGGGCGGCCGACCACCTGGAGAAGCGCAAGGCGATCGAGATACGCGGTTACAGCAATCTAAGAGAAAGGTTTGTATAGAAAAATTGCAGGATAATTAATAAAAAGTAATACTTTAAGAGTGAGGTAATACAATGCTGATGATGGTGCCAAAAATATAAAATGGGAGAAAATTGTTTTTGTTTTAATTTATCAAAGGCCAGCTTTTACCCGCAGCACAATGAAAACAAAAAAACTCACTCCCATATTTTTCATAATTCGTCTTCCTGCGCTTCTCCCAATTTAATTTGGGTGCAAGGTTTGACACTGCAAAGGATTTGATTGGTTACTTTGATGGCGTCTGTATGGTGACGGATTAAGAAAGCGTAGTATCACCACCCCTATTCATTCCGTGGATATCGTAAGAGTCGCCTACGGGAGTGAACTGCGCAGGACAACAGCACTGCAAAGAGAAGGAAATGGTAGCCCAAAACCTCATTTATTATAGGCTGTTGGTGATAATGATGATGATGGCTTTGATGGCTAATTTTGTTTTTATTATCTACCAGACGGCTACCCGGGTCGGACATGTTAAAAATCGTTTTTAGATAGTAGTCTAGTAGATAGCTAGAGTACGGGATTCCGCAAGATACCGGATGAAAAAACGAGACTGAGTTGTGCCTTAACTCTTAAGATACTATAGGGACATAATATACATATACTCGTATGAGTATATGTTAAAATTATGTATGCAATTTAAACCTGCATTTTATAAAATACTTCCCACTTCTCAGTTTAGGCTATTTTAGAGTATATTATATCTGTTGCCACTATTGCAATAAACTGAAGAAAAAGAAAGGGAATCAAGTTATTGGGGGCTTTTTAAGAAAAATTTTCTGCCTCCTGTATTCTGTGTTCTCCTGCTTTCAGCGATATGTATCTCAGAATCAATAATTTTTCTTATAGTTACAAAACGTCAATAGGTAGCTATTCTGTTTTCGGAGATTTTGTCACACAAGATTAATAAACTTGAACTTCTTTGAACGTGAACTTCAATAGAAGTCAGAGAAATTGACGCTAAACCTATCGATAGTACAATACACAAAAAGAGAGAGCAAAACTCAAATCAAATGAACTGAAGAAAAACATAACACGGCAAATTTATTTTTACGAATATGAAGTATGAACTTTTACTTATATTCCACAATTTAATTTAAAGCAGTTGTTCACGTTCGATTCTGTGTAGCTCTAATTTATGAATTTTAATTTTTGTACAAATTTTAATTATTTTTGCCAACGTTTGATACTCTTTGGAACGGTTGTATTCTATTGCAACATCATCCATCTGCTACCTGGTATGGCAGACATGAAACATTAATCAATGTCAGGTTTAAGATTTGGTTGAATCATCTCCCATCATTATAAATATATTTACATTGAACCTTGAGCCCTGATTTATAGGCAAATTCCTTGAAATCAACTTTATTAATAGGTTCAATACTTTTATCGATTCTCACTAATCGATAGAAGATTTTTCGTGTAGAAGAATCGGCAGAAGATATTTATGTTAAATATATTTTTATACGTGTAACACGATTTACCACCACTTTAAAATTTTAAACCAAAAAAAGATTCCGACGAATTGAGAACCTCCTTCCTTTTTTAAAGTCGGTTAAAACCCATGTGGTGTCAATTGGGACATATTGTATACATTACGATGATTACGATAATTGGACTGGTGGCAATCAAGAGTTGACTTATATAAATTGCCAGACTCAACTTATGTCGATAGATACGAGTATGAAAAAATTAAGGCTTTAATAATCATAAAACATTTTTGTGCGTTTTTTATTGATTGAGATTTAGAAAATTGTAAAGAGAATTTACTTGACTAATTGCGACTTCCTTTGATACATTTTAGAAAAAATAAAATAAAAATCATGTTTGGTACAACTTGTATGTTTAACAAGTAAGGAGAGGACTTTATTTACTTTCCACTGTAGAGCTTTTTAATTAGTTTCATTAGACTTTTTATGTTTCTGAATTTGGAGGGAATATTGATACTAAAATGATGGGTGCATTAAGTTTTATATCTTTATTTCCTCACCATCTTAACCGGTGTCACTGACGTGAATGTAGCTAGTGTGTGTTATGTTGGTATTTTAATCTAGTATACTTCCTATATTTTTGTAAGGAAGGCTATTGATATATTTAATTATTAGAATTATCTGTAACTTCTTTAAACTTTTAATTTTTTTATGTACTTCCTTAATCTTAAAATAACGTCGTTTTTTTGTCGTTACAATACTTTACTATAAAAAATTGAAATATTTATTATAATTAAACATTTTCCTACACCGGGATTGTGAAAAATAATTGGATAGTAATGAAAAGCTGTTGCGTTTTTGTTTAAATAGCTGGATTGCCTTAAAGAGGGCATGACATATTTATCTAGTATTTTACTCTCGATTTTCGCCGCTACACGGGCAGAATCCTTCGCGTGCCCGAAACGACGGTCGAAATCAGGTACTTTTGATTGGATTGATATTGGTATTGGTGGTTTTTGATATTGGTAGTTTTTGAAATATGTGGTTGATTAAGAAAAGATTAACCCATTAAATTTATAGGAATGCAATAATGCGGTTTTCATAAACTGATTTAAATCTACCTAGTTCTAAATAAAGAGGATTATGTTCTAAGAACAGTTTAACAATAAAATATATTATTTAATGCAAAAAATAAGGTTATTAGCGTGAAAAGTACATACTCTATTAAAGTTGATTTATACATTTTGCTATATTTCAATATCAGACAAATATTTTACACACATTTCTGTTACTCATTTTTAATAATTTAATAAGCCTAGTAGTAACAGAATGATAAATGACACCTTGAAGAGTAAGTTTGATTTGTGTAAGTACACATAAAATTTTCGTCACACGAAGACAAAAATAAAATATTTTTCTTTATGTAGTATTTTTATATATAATTAAAGTATTCACAAAACAAAAATAAAATTAAAGTTAGTTAATAAAAATAAAATTAAAGTATTAATAGTTCTTCTTATATGAAATTAACCTGTACTTTTGTAGAAAATCGCTATATCGCTATCGAAAAGTATATGATTTTTTTTGGACTCAAAGATTTTCGCAGAGAAGTACAGAATTTGTGGAGCGTTTGCTTATTTACGGATTTTCATAGAGCTTTATAGATTGCCGTATCATGTGAACACAGCTCACTCTAAACATTTCATATCGTAAATCCAAATGAGTCACTCGCTTGTTTCTGTTGCTTTATTTAGAATAAATCAATATTCCATTTTGTACATTTCTATATTTTAAAAAAGTCAAAAGATCGAAAATTTGAAATACAATACCAATATCATTATTTTAAATATTAGAAAATATACTATTGGACTTAGAAAGAAACTTAGGTATGATAAACCTTTTATACCGTTTGTTTAGAAGATAATTTTATTCTCTCCTTTTTATTGCCAAGACAGATAAATTTACTTTAATGCTAACACTATCAACGTGAATTCCATGGAAGGTGCTCATCAAATATAAAGTATAAAAAAATTGATAGATATGGCTGCAAGTGCTCGTATGTAACTTTAAATCTATTTCATTATCACTATAATACATTTTATAACAATAGTCGTATCATCCGCCATCACTACACAGTAATGGTTTTCTATTATTTGGCCATTCATGTAGTTGATTAAAGCAAGGGATCAAGTTTACTGCCTTGCGTAATTCCGTGAAAATAATACCATATCTCAAAATTATATGTTTCTAAGCAGTTTGTAATTTGCTAAATTTAGCTATAGGTTATGCTAGCAATTTCCTTTTTATTTGGATTTGAACCAATTAAATACTTTTTATAAAACTTATTAAAAAAATATCAATTGGTATATTATGATTACTTAAAGCAAAGCATTTAACAATATTTAATGTAAAGAAATAATTCAACATGACCTTTTTATTAAAATAATAAATTATGTATTTAACGAGGTAGAAATTATATCATGCAAAAATTATTTATTAGACTGATATTTACCAAATGCCCATAATAATATTTGTTTAAATCATATCACACTGCTATGATTTTTTGCATTCCGAGGTTCCAAAAGTTCTAATATGAACGCCCATTACATGGTTCTCCGATCATGCGCAACCATATCTTAATTTACACACAACCTTAGACATTTAAATAAATATAAATAAATCCGGAGTAAGTCTAGTAAGTTAGTCTAGCTTTAAATATATAGAAGTGCAACAGACTTCGCCACCCCAAGCGTGGAGATCTAATGACACGTGAATCTTTAACTACGTCAACACAAACTAAGTTACCATTTTATTTCTGCTTTGTAAACCCTGTTCAATATAAGGTTAGCTACGAATACTCTTAAATCACAGTATAAAATAAATTAGACCTTTTTCCCAGTTGTTTATTTCAATATATATATGTATAATTAAATAATAGTTAATCTATCTGTGTGATGACGGATTAAGAATACAGAGTGTCACCACCCCTACTCATCCCATGGGTGTCGTAAGAGCCGGCTGAGGGAGTAAACTACGCAGGACAACAGCACTGCAAAGAGAAGGAAATCTAAAAACACACCCCCCAAACCAACCCGTCTGGCCAGCGTGGTATAGTAGACCAAAACCTCCTTTCTAAGGGGAGGCCTATGTCCAGCAATGGACTAGTAAGGTTATTGGTAAAATAATAATTTAAAATTATGCTTTTGTTTCAGATGGTCAAGATGATGGTGATTGTAGTGACGGTATTCACAATAAGCTGGCTACCTCTCAACATGTTTATTGCAAGTACTTTTTTATAAATATTACAATTAGTTGAAGTTTAGGAGTTTGACGGGCCTGATAGTCTAGCGCATAGTGAGTGATCGTAAATTGCTGAACCAGAAACCACGGCTTGACTCTCACTAGTGTTACATTCTTATTGCCAGTTATCGTATTGTCTATGGTTTTTATTCTGAAATAGTAAATAATAAAATTAGTTTATATACAAACAATATTTTAGGCAATCATCAATATGGTTTCCGCAATAATTTATCTACTAACTATGTTGTTCGTGACCTCACAAATCATGTTGTGTAGATATTGGATAAAGGAAAAAAATGTGTTAGTATTTTTCTGGACTTGGCTAAGGCATTCGAAGCGCTCTCTATACTTTTGCTAAAGCTGAAGTTGGAAAAGGTTGGTATAAGCATACCCTGGTTGCTAGCGTCAGCCAGAAAATAACAGGAACTCTGCTGGCCTAATACAGGCTCAAGAACTTTCTTCCCTCTGAGACACAAACGATGTTGGTACAGACCTTAATAATCCCCACCATCGATTATGGTAATATTACTACGACAAGAATGCAGACCTCCTCAACAAATATGACCGACTTCTGAATAACCACATTCCATTTATTTTTATTCTACGTAAATTTGTCCATGTTTCTCCTTGTGTTCTAATCATGATAGAACCCTACGCTCCACAAATAATCTTCTTCTGTTATGCCCCCGTCATACTTTTGCATGTGTTCATTCTTCCTTCCTCATTCAATGTGTCCTCCTCTGGGACGCTCTTCTCAGGAAATTCAGATTGGCACCCAGTCGATATTCGTTTAAGGCCAAAGAGAGAGCTCTCCTCACAGACAAAGAAGCTACATCATCATGGGATGAATACTTAATATATTTTATGAATTCTGTAAATGTATGTATGTATGTATATGTTTGTAATCTATACTAATATTATAAAGCTGAAGAGTTTGTTTGTTTGTTTGTTTGTTTGTTTGTTTGAACGCGCTAATCTCAGGAACTACTGGTCCGATTTGAAAAATCCTTTCAGTGTTAGATAGCCCATTTATCGAGGAAGGCTATAGGCTATATATCATCACGCTAAGACCAATAGGAGCGGAGCACCAATGAAGAATGTTTCAAAAACGGAGAAAATTTATTACTATTCAGAGACGCAGACGAAGTTGCGCGGGTCAGCTAGTAATGTATATACGTGTAGGTATATGTATGTTTGTAAGAAAGTTTTAATGATATTCATCACTTTTTCTACCCTCATTTTTTTTGCGTATGTATTTCTTAGTTAAGTCTTGTTATTGTTATTGAATTTAGTGCACCTTATCACTCATCTCTTCACCACCCCAAGGTAGACTGGTAGAGAATGCCTACAGCATTAAGTCCACCTTTGTGCATAAAGTATTAAATAAATAAATAAAAGAATTGTCAATAACTGTAGACAAGACCTAATATTTGACTTTTGCTATAAGGGATTCAGTTGCTGTATATAAGGCAAAATTTCCAATAATCACACATAATCATCTATTAAATACTCATCGCACGTGTAACTGCCCTAAATTAAATTATTCTATCACCATAAAATACTTGGGCGTGAAAAATTTAGCTTTACACTTCACATCGATCTTTTAACAGGACAAATCCATAAGTTAATCTATATTTTTAAGCACTTGAGGCATGTCGCAAACCCTAAAATTTAAAAAACAGCTTATTTTATTACGCATTATGTCAATCGTTGATAGGACGTGTTTTCTCCTGGGAAATTTGATACGAGTGGAGCGAGCGCAGAGAGCAGTACAAGTACAGTAAAAGTGACAAACTTCAAGCCATTTCGTATTCCTACTAAGGATCCTTTCCTACTAAAATAAATAGGATTCTATTAATAGCTAATAGGACTAAACATGAATGCAAAACTGTAATAACTGAGTGGCTTTGTAAATTGTCATATGAAGACACAGAGACTCTTATTCATCCAACATCTTAAAACATGCACTCATTATACTCTAACAGTCACGCTCCATAAGCACACACACGCACGCACGCACACAGGTACACACAAATACACACACGCACACGCACATTGCAAAGGTTAGGCATTTATTTTATTGATGATGTTGTTGGCATAAGAGCCGACTAAGGGAGCAAACTAAGCAGGACAACAGCACTACAAAGAGAAGGAAAACTTGAAACAAACCCTATACTCGTACCAACCCGTCTGGCCAGCATGGTATAGTAGGCCAAAACCTCCTTTCTAAGGAGAGGCCTATGTCCAGCAGTGGACTAGTATAGGCTGTTGATGATGATGATTGATGTTGTTGGCATGGCTCACTTGACACTAATTCATTATGAACATTATGTAAAAGTTAGATAAATAGTATAAATATTTACAGATATGTATAATTGTGTCGTTGGAAGGTTACTGGTACTGATAGCTAAGGTATTACCTATTTCAAGTACCAGCCGAACATGTTTTGTGGTGTATTATATACATACTTCTATAATTGAAAAAATAGTCAGTTAATATTCTGAAAGAATAAAACTAATGAAGAAATAAAGTTTTGAAGCTGGAAAACCGCATTTCATAGAAAACACGGATAAATGTAATTTTCCACAAACCCATTTTCTGAACGTATTTTTCTGTTTCATATATTTGAAATGATTTTCTCTGCGACATTTGGTTTGTTTACTATTACAATAAACACAACTGCATTACTGAACATACCAAATTTTGTCCTGATGCATGGATGATAAATTCATTAGCATATGCAATAAATTTATTAAATTTATTGCATATGCTAAAATAGATTAATAAGATAAATCATCATTAATAACTTAAAAAGACATATAACTTTTACTTAAAAAAAACAAAAAAGCTTTTATACGCTAACCGAACTAAAAAGTAGCTTTTTTGCGATAAAATCATTTTTCTTTTTGAACTTATAGAAAATTATTTCCTACTTTTTAGTCCAGGTACTCCCTAATCAATGCCGGTCATAGTCAATTAATCAATGCCGGCGAGACGCGCTTCGAATCGCGCGCGCCCTTTCGGGAGCACAGGGGTTCCCACACAGGAGGGGGTCATTTTCTCGCCGTAGATGGCCCGAGGTACGTCGGGGTATCAGGGTTTTCCTACCCCGGTTCCCCGGCAACTGGTACCCGAGACGGCGTGCGGTTTTTGGTCGGTTCGAGTCCGACATAACCACCGGTGGGTGGTATCCGAGGGGATTTCCGAACAGGAACAAAAAAAAAGGTTTACTTTTCTGTAGATAAAAAAATATACAATATACATATATTATACAAAAATATTACAGGATATTTACTACTGTATTGAATAAGACTTTACAGTAATAGTAATCTTTATTGTGGTTCATAGTTTATATAATTAACGTTATATAAAATGAGCTTAACGAGTAAAGTTGTATTGTCTGGAACAACGGCTGATGTTGAATTCAAGACATTATATTATTATTAGAGAATTAAATGTTCCCTTTATCATGACAAATAATCTTAACTGCTAATTTATTTTCGATCTGCCGTATCACAATGGTACGATACTAAAGCGTTTCTACAAAATTGTAAAGGCTCAATTTTGCCTTAATAATTATAATTATTAAAACAAAATTTAAGTTTAGGTTTTAATATCACTTTTTTCATCAAAGAATTTTGAAGTGTAATGTGAGTTGTGGAGTTTGACCCTCTCATTGTCAGTAACGGCGGTGAATTAAAAAATAAATAATATTAAGGTTAAAGATAAGTAGAGATAACTTTTTGTATTGATTTGTGCACAACGCATTTTTCTACGCCATTGTATTAGTAAGACATATAGGTATACAATACTATATTTTTGGATTCAATAATAAAAGTCCATAATGTTTCAGGTACCTGAATTGTTTGCGGCGGTAAGACCCGTTATGGAGGATTGGCTCGAGAGGCGTCACGGGACCCTCTCATACCGATTGACGCAGGTGATCACTGGGAAGGGATGTTTCGGAGATCACCTGTGTCTGATCCGCAAGGAGCCAACGCCTGAGTGCCACCACTGCGATGGCCAGACCGTGGACACGGCTCTCCACACGCTGGCAGAGTGCCCGGCGTGGGTTGAGCAGAGGCGAGACTTCGTGGCGGCCATCGGAGTGGGAGTTCTCTCGCTCGATAGCCTGATTGCGGCTATCGTGCAGAGCGAGAGTGCGTGGAACTCTGCCGTCTCCTTCTGCGAGCAAGTTATGCTCGCGAAGGAGACGGCGGAGCGGGACCGGGAGAGGTTTAGAACTCTCCCGGCCCGCCAGGCCCGGGCACGGGCCAGGCAGCGCAGGCGACTCAGGCGCCGGAGGTCGCAGAACGACCTTCGTCCTCCATAAGCGCAGGCCTGGGGGTGACAGGTGAGGCCATCTGTCACCCTAGCAGAAGCAGGCCGGGGTGGCGGCGAGCGCGTTGCGAAGCGCCCTCTTCCAGGGAGCACAGGGAACATGGGGTTCCCACACGGGGCGGGGGTCGTCTACTCGTCTGTAGATGACCCGAGGTATGTCGGGGCACCAGGGCCTTCCTTTCTAGGGTATACCTGGTTCCCCGGCTATTAGTACCCGGCGAAGGCGTGCGGTTTTAGTCGGTTCGAGTCCGACATGCCACCGACAGGTGCTATCCGAGGGGATTTCCGCAAGGAAAAAAAAAAAAAAAAAAAAAAAAAAAGGTACCTGAATTGTGTCACAAAATATATTATTGCCCCCAGCCGAGCGAAATTTAAGAAATAATATGATAAAAAAGAATCTAATCTAATGAAAAGGTATCAAGGTTTTCTAAAACGGAATGGGCATGTTCTACAATTAAGTATATAGTAAATAGGTTTATTACTAGCATATAGAAGTTGTTAGGTAGAATCATTTGAAATTACGTTTTTGGGACATTGGACTAAAATAGAACACTATAAAACGAAGTTTATATGAAGTACAGGGTAGGTAGGCAGAAAGAACGGCACTTTCACTAAACACTATTGTTTACAGGTAGGACGCATTTGGTATATGAATTTAATAATTTACAAATACGTTACGCTGATGTACCTCTTTTATGATATCAGGTAATGCATAGTAAGAATAAAGTAACAATAATACATTTATGTACATTTCCGCATCAAGTTTATGATCTTGTTAACAACGACCATAAAAAATATTCTTACAGAAAATTAAAATGAAAACTTCAAAGTCTTGTGCACTGCTTAACTTTTTGGAGTTTCTCAATTATTATTTTTTTAAAGACAACTCCCACATTAGGAATGTATCCTGTGTCGCGGGGCACTTTACAGACATATGTAAATGAAACGGACACAAAGAAAACCCAGACTCAGAACAACAATTTGTGGATCACACAAAGTGTCGTCCCATGTGGAGATCGGACCCACAACACTCAGCGTAGTAGGAAGCGGCGTAACGACTGCTTCATCCACTTCGCCAACCGTGCAGTCAAAAGTGCAGTTGTATGCTTGTACTTATTACATTTATAAATTGGCGACAATAACAAACTTTAAATAAGTATGTAGAATTTTGGCCCAATAGCTGTCTTTAAAAGCTTACTGACATAGTTCTATAACTAGAGTTTGTATGACATTCTTGTCCATGACCCATCTGATATTTTAAGAAAGTTAGGTTTACAAAAATAATCCTTATATAACAGTCTTACGAGAATCTATTGCAATTAAAATATTTTCATATATCTTATTGTTCAAAACATATGTTTTTCATGTGAGAAATTGTACTTTGTAGTTTGTATTTGTATTAAACTAAATTATAATATTTACATTCTTTTTTGAAAATATTTAATAGGCACAGATTAAAACTTTTATATTTATTTTAAAAGTTACAGAAACTCCTCACACTAATCATATTTTAAGTTATACATAATATATGTACCTATTTATTTACAGCATGCCCTGTTTGGTCAACTAACATTGGCCTAACTTTAGTATGGTTTTGTCGGACAGGTATTGTGGACGATACATGAACATGACGAGAGCTGGGGCATGTGGCCGGGGATGCCGTACGTTTGGTTCGCGAGTCACTGGCTTGCCATGTCACACTCTTGTTACAACCCCATTATATATTGCTACATGAATGGAAGATACAGGCGCGGATTCAAGCAGGTAATACTAAGACACGTTCCAATTGTAGCTTAGCATTGCATCTTGATTCACACAAAAGAAATGAAGATGTAATGAAGTGCAATGCATGTATAAGATTAGCATCATAATTCTTTTAAAATCTGAAACAGGAATTGTTGCTTTGTAAATACCTAACATTTATAATGTGACATACTATTGCTGGTAGACCCTTATGTTATATTTTTTCTTATTAATAATTTTAGAAAGGTCATTCACAATTACCGAGTGTCATTTTTAACACCAGGAAGATATAATAAACCCAAAAGAGGATAGTAAAAGTTTTGCTTTTCAGTAAAAGGAGGTCAAAAAACGGCTAGAGTGGTTAAGCAGTGGTTTGCTTAAACTAATTTCTTAGTGTTTTTTTTTTTGTGGTGGGTTACATATTCTTAGTATTATATTTAGTGAATCGTTCTAACTAAGGTAAATGCTTATGTCAGGATTTACAGGGTTGTCAGGTTTAATGGGATGGCCATTGCATGGCAGACATTCGTGCTTTAAACATAATGGCCATTCTTAACCATGGGTTATTGCTCAAAATCAATAATCATTGTCAAATACCGCCAAATCCATCCGCCGCATCAACTGATCTTTTATTTTTCTTATATGTTATAGCATCCTTATATTTTTTTTGTTTCCCATTTTTTAACTGATTTCAGTGATTATTTTCTTAATTAGGACACATAAAAAAATTATATGAGTGGATAATTAAAGAATGGAAAATACAGTTCATTTCAATACTTATCATGACTTGACGTAATGGTGATACATTTTTTCAAAGTAAATTTTTGTATATTTTACTTGGACATACTAAAACTTCTAGTGGTAATAAGAATTTGCAAAATTACAATAAATAACACATAAAAAAGGCCTTTGGTATGATGTAGTATATAAATCCATAGTGAAAGAGATCCCAAATGTATAACCATTCTAGTAAAGTCGAGATGAGGTTATATCTAAAGTTTTACTTTTTTAAATTCGTACATGTACGTCGTCGTGTACATGTTGCAGTATTTAGATTAGTAGGAGCAATGTATATTACCTCCTGGCTTTTGCGTGAAGTTCAGTCACAGTGATATAAAAAATACCAATGTCATGTCAAGTTCAACGGATCAATTACACAAATATCAGCCAAGTGTATTCTTTGGCACGATGCCAATGGAATACGGTCATAGTGAAGATACCTTCTAATTTATTTGTATACTTATTTGCAATAATTTTATCATCTGCTTATTTGAATGAACCGCTTAAAAGCATTTATAACATTGAGTTAAAACAACACTAGAGAAGCAAACCTCATTATCACACGTCGAAAAAAGTGTAACCACTTTTGAACTTTGACGACGTAGCTTTGATACCACGAAACATTTGAAAGTAAACATATTTATGTCTCATTTACACGCGAGACAAGAACAATACCATAGCTCGGATTAGACAAAGACAAAGACATAACTTTACGACGGTGGGCCAGTGTTGACTACCGTATGAAATTTTACCCATAACAACAAAGAAACAATTTTTTTTTAAAACAATTTTGTAATAAAATAAATTAATTTAAATATTTTAAATAATACATTTCGAATTGAATGGAATAGGTATAAATAATAAAATAACTAGAAATATTTGGTTAAAAGGGTTTATATTCAGTGTAAAATCAAACTCCGCTATGAAGCATCAGTTTTGTATACAATTGTCTTTTAGACTCTTTTTTATAAGTTTGTGTGAATATTTTACTTTCATGATACAATCTTATTTTTACCTATGTATAAATAATGGCATTTAATAGTAAAAGTGAATGATCAACTTGTACTGATAATAAATAATCCCCAGGGTGTATTGCAAATTCTTTTAATATTTTAAAATACAAATAAAAACAAAATATAACAAATATACCTATATATATATATATATATATATATATATATATATATATATATATATATATATATATATATATACACGGTGATTTTGAAAGCGTTTAGGAAACGAAATATTTGAATTTGGAATCATCTATAGTACCAATAAAAATGATTAAATCAATTGTAATGTTGTCTAAAAAAAAGTTTCAGTTTTAATATTCATTTTTACTCGATCGACTTGGAAAGTAGTAATGGACTGATCGTTCATTCATTATCTTATATGAATGAAACACGTCCGTGGGCGTTTCGGCGGCCGCTGCGCACCGCCGACGCTAACAGCAGCTGACAAAACTATACCTATAGGCGCGAGCTAGCGAGTACTTACGTAGATAGACTCCAATTTGTCCTTCATACTTTACACGGGCTTAGGACCGTCAGAAATACCTATTTTATTTAAACTTCTTTTCGATTATTAACCACGATTGTTCTTTTCACAACAAATCAATTTATCAACGGACTGTAGGTATAAATATTTCAGGCGTATTTAAAAAATCGGAGCTATCTACAGAATAATTAACTTACATACCTATTTACACTATTTACAGTTCTCTGTATCGAAGGAACTGCTCAAAATGGAGTCCGCTGCATTCAATACACAAACGTCCAAGTTTAATGCAATTGTTTTTTAATTTTCTTAATGTGTCTCTATCACTTTTCACTTTAAAGCGTCCACTATCGCAATGCGTAAATTATCACGGCTTTCATATTCCCGTGTATTAACAAGTCTTTTTATTTCCGACCATAAGAAAAAATCCAGGGGCGTTAAGTCCGATCACTAAGCTCATTGTCCAGGTATGCACGCACTACACTCCGGCGAATAATAATTAAAACGTCCTTGACCTTGCGCATGAGTAGGCGCACGAAATTGTCCGTGGTCGAGAAGACGTTGGGTTGCAGCCAAGATGGTAGGTGTGGAGGGAATTTGAGGGCTTTCAATTCCACGTAGCCGTAGTGCATTTAAATGCTCCGGCTTGGGAATATAATCGCCGAGCCTCTTCCAAGTTGTAGTTGGCAGTTGCGTACAGCTGTACCATTGCCAAGAAGTATTCCACGTTTGAAAATTCGTACTGTCGACTCATTTTAGCGCTAATCAATGCAGCGTGCCGTCACGATGTTATGGTATTACTGACAGACTGACGATGACAGGTGAGCCCCGCGCATGCGCCTACGGGGCAGACGTCATTGGTTGGACGACTCCGGCGCAACTCGGTAGCTTTGTTTTTATTGGCGAATACGATTTGATGTGACTCGATATTAAAACGCATAGTATTGCTATTCGTAGTATTTACCTACGTGTGATTGAATAGCCTACTACTACTGGTTCTGACCTTTTTCTCTGTAAACGATATGAATATCGACTTTGATGATAAAAAAAAATATATTTTATTAAATTAACGTTATATATAGCTTCTGTTACTGATAAATAACTCAAAATTTTCTTTTCCAAAACGCTTTCAAAATCACCGTGTATATATATATATATTTTTTTTTATTTATATTTATTTACTTTTTTATTTTATATATATATTTTTTTTGTTCAATTATTATTCATATTTGATAATTAATTAAGAAAAATGAATGAATGAATTAATTAATTCTTTTATACAAAAGTCTCCAGCACTGCGAGCTTGGCAGAAGGTGAACGTTCAACGGGTCCCTAAAAAAAGTGATCGATCCAGCCCTAACAACTACCGTTCTTCTTATTATTTTATTATTATTGACAAAATGTTTAAAAACAGTATAAAGCATATTATTTCATAAATTATAAATTCTCCCACTAATGTGGGAAAACAAAAATGATTTTTTAATGGTAACACTGATTCTAAATTACAATTATCATTGTTTTATTTCAATTATAGCCTTATTTACGATATTTTCAATACAAAAACCATAAACTTACACGTGATAAGTAATTCCGCATGATTTATTATGGTTTTGTGACCTTGAATCGCATTCTTTCACTACATTTTGGCGATTGTTACTGTCACGTGTCGCTATGTTCAACTCGGTTGACGCCACATTGAACACTGAATTGACGTTTGCTACGCATATGCCTGTGGACAGATGTGCAGTAGCAACGATTTTAGGCGGTAATTACTCATCTATGTAAGTATTATATCAATGATTTATAAGTAACATTTAATGTCTATCCATTACTTCAATATAATCTGTCAAATCTGTTAAGATGACATTTCTAATTGACTTAGTGTCCAAAATTATGAGAAATTCATTCGAAACGTATGTTTAATATAATCAAACAGAATTTAGTGGTAGTACTACAATTAAATTTGAGTAAAATTAATATTACAAAAAAAAAAAACATTTTTAAAGCTTAACGCATTTGTACCTTTTAAATATAAACGAGTCAGTAATGTGCTGGGGAGATGATCAGAAGTCTCTGTTAAACAATTCCATGTCAATGCTCTCCTTAGTGGCTATGAACACTAACATCTGAGGCACTACGTTACTATGTTTGTGCGAATGTGCAGATTACAAATTAAATTATATTGTGATTAACAAAACTTTTTAAGAAACTCTTAAACTAACAAGTGATCAAATTGTTGCGTGTATGCATGATAGTGTTCGTATTGATTCTTCAGTATTTCTTTTTGTTCAGTAACCATCTTTCCTACATTATATTAAGTAGCAAACAGTATTAATAAAAAATAGTAAACTATTCCATTAATAACCAGATGGAATAGTAAACTGTTCTATTAATAATCAGTTGATACTATAAAACTACAACAACAGTAGTTAAAACTAATAACCAGTTAATATCCTAGGATGTAAAAAAAAGATGTGAACTCAACAATTAATAAGATCGCAACCTGTTGGAAAAGATAACACACACAAAGACTATACTTACTTTATATAGTCAAACATATAATGTTTTTAATGATGATATTCTATGTTAGGTACCATGGTTAACTTATTTCTTTTGTGCACTGTGAAACACACCATTTTAAGGCAGTCAAACAACAATTTGCAATAAGTTTATATTGAAAATTATAATGATCAAAGTTTTCTATCATTTACTTATTCTAGGTTAGGAGAAGCTATAATTTTGGCATGTTAACTCAATATCTCCTTGCACAATGCTACTACAATCTACAAAGTAAGTACCTACCTACTACCCATAACTGTATTTTATACACGTAATATAATGGCAGGGTGGGATTATTGGTAGAAATTCATGTACCCTATAAACGCTTGGCTCTCCAGCCATTTCAACATAGTTCATTAAGTAATAAGCAATATTTACTTGTTTTTGTAACGAAGCCATTTATTTAGGTTGGCTAAATTCGAATTATTTTACGAACTATTAGAACTTGAGTTCAAAATTCATGTAACATTTTTTGTGTATATGTAACCCGATATCTTTGCCATTAGTGAATCGACTTCAATAATTATTTTTATTAGATAAATTGGTTGTATTCAAGGTTTTATCTCATTTAAATTAAGTGAAAAGATCCAATATTTAAAGGATAATTCAAGTCAAATAATACAGCCACATTACAATTTATCAAGATAATTGAGCTTAGAAGTCCTGTTTTTAATTTTATTTTTGTATTTTAATCAACAACAAACTTCAAGACTGTTATAAAAACAAAAAAGCTAAAGAAACATCTACTTATCTCTACATGAATCGTTTAAGACAAACTATGTTTACCTAGTAAACATCCAATATTGACTTTTTATCTACATCGGTAAACCTACTCGATACTTGCGTGAAGTGCATATGCAAAGGTTTCGATCAAATATATCATAGATACGGTCCCCAACCAAAATCACATCAAATACTTGGACGTGATAGTACTGCATACTTTACGAGCGTGGTTATCATATACCTTATAATAAACCAAATCATACAATGAGATTTAGAGGGACATTCCCTCTAAATATGTTTTATAATGGATTGTTCAATGTGTAAAAGTTCAATGTATAGCGTCCGTAGCGTTGCGTTGCTTGTTTTTAATGGTAGGTTTTCCACATACAGACTCGGAGTGAAAAAAACAGATGTACAAACTACACATAATATTCGTTTGTTACAGTGCTAATTAGTACCTACACTTTAAAGTATTTAAAGTCAATGTACCTCTATGGCGTTGTCTTCCATTTTTTTATGTAGCGGGTTCAAAGCGTCTGTTAACAAAACTGTGCATGCTACTAATTTCAGCGTGGTTTCATTTTTTAATAGTTTTTTTTTAAACTGGAATGGATAATTTAAGAATAAAAATAGATAGTCAAAAAATAACAATTTGCGTTTTTTCTTATGAGTTTGTTGTAATAAAATTTCCAATACGGTTACTTTTAATATTATAGTGATAGGCAGCGTGATAGATCCTAATACTTAGGTTTAAGATAGCTTACTTAGGAATAGATAGATGAATATTTACAAAGACAGCGTGATGAATATAACTTGTGACTTTATATACTCCTCATCTATACATATGGTACTTAAAGGTATCATAATTGCCCGTCCTGAAAACCAACTTATTATAATATCTTCTTGTCTTTATAACGTGCTATTATGTAGTTCCCTATAATTTCATATTCTTATTAGACACAACAATAAATTGTGCGGTACATTGCGTGTACGGGATTGAAAAGAAACAATCCTTCTGTGACGACGTTTCATTTACTCTTCATTACTCACAGATACTCGGTCTAAGTAATGTGTCTCTCTTAAGATAATAGAGCACTACGTCAGTGCTACGCAACTCTGACGTAGTTGTTTCTATTATAGCTTTGCCCTGCCAACACTCTTTACTCTTCCTCTAAATCTTTTTTATTTTTGAAGCCTCTTTATCTTGTGTTCTTCCTTAGACTTTTACTAAATGCAAGCTGTGTGCTTCTTTGCTCCTTAAATACCCTTGTTATTTTAAATCTTATCTATGTATGTCTCTTTACCCTCTTTATTTTAAATCTGATCTTTGCCTTTTAACTTTTAGTGTTCTTAATATTAATAAAAATATTTCAATCAAAGCTTAGACATTAGAAACACTCCAAAAATATTAATTCAACGAGTTACAAAAATGTAACTTAATATTGTTGCTTTGTTAGCAACAATATAGCAGCACCGTAGCAGCACTTAGCAGACCCTACAATAAGTGTAGTTATAAGAAATGCTCTAACGGAGTAAACATTCTTAACACAGATTTGAATAAATCTCTACCGCATAGCTATTTCTGTATTTATTTATTTTACGATTGAAAATGTTTGTTTATTTTTAGGCTTTCGGGTGTTTATTTCACATGCGATTGGATACCCCTTCTCGTCACCGGTCTAGTGCCTTTGAAGGAGTACAAATGTCTGGTAAGTTATTGTATAAATATATATATTTATTAGTAAAGCCTCCAAAAAAAGACAACAAAAAATTTAATATACGTTAAATATCGTTGGAGTATTGCCTATTGCTTTCATATTAGCTTATATAAAACTACGAACTAAAAAAAGGGTTTCAATAGGAAAGATTACATTAAGAAAGACAATCAAACCTCGAAAGTAAATTAAGAATATTAATAGTTTTTATATTCGGTAGTACAACTATGTAGGTGTCTCCATAGCGACGTAATGCATTCACTTTTAAAATCCGAAATGGACAGTCTGAGCTTAACTAAATTTAAAACATTACTTAAAAATGTTGTTAGTGTAGTGGCTGTAGGCTAACTACTTGTAGACTAAGAATGTAAGCTTGTGGATTTTGTGTATGCTGAAAATGTTTACAATTAAGTTGCTTTAATTTCTTACAATGTCAAAATGGACTATTTTCTGAACGCTATATTAGATTATTATATTTTGACATGTGTCTGTGATACAGTATTCTATTTGTTTTTTTTTCAACTATTAAGCCTTCTTCACTTTTACAATAATAACGGTTGTTAATGAAAGTGTTATTAGGGATGGTATTTTCTGACTTAATTTTCACAAGTCTGGCAGTTTTAACGATTCCATATAGGCCTTCTCAAATGTTTGACTACGAGAGTGTGGACTGGTTAGATTCGTAGAGGTTCCTAATACGTTAATGGATTACAGGTTTATCCAGTCTATTAGGTGTCGTGACTGGTAAGGTCAAAACCGAAACGTATTTTTCGTATAAAGACTTTCCTAGGTCTCTATTTTGCACTAGCACCTACAGTCTCAATTTATATAGAGATTAATGTTTAACTTTGTTTCAGCGATTATTCTTGAGCAGAGTCTCGAAATACCGGTACCTAAGTAATGTCTGAATAGTTTTATTAAAGAATAGAGCTGTTACCTATGTTATGTAGGGGGCAAACGACCAGATGGGCCACCTCGTAGAAAGTGACCAGTCACAAGCGTACTTTGTATCCAACTGATAATATCTCAAATAACCGAACCTCTGGACCGACTACTCTGGATGATACAGGCGAAGCTACATCTTTACGTAACGCCAAGGAGTTAAACCGATCGGAAACAGTCTGGTAATCTACGATTCCAACCAGATGCGGTCTAGAGTAAGAAACTGGTATTGAGGTGTCACTGCACAGAGATGAAAACAGTATTTCATTAGGGGCCGCCTTATGAGTTATAACAACCACTTTTTGAGTTCAAAAAAATAATAATAATTCAAAACTTTAATTTTCGGCTTTACACACATTGACATTTATCTAAATAAGAATATAATTGCAATTAAAATTCTGAATTAAGATTATGCTTGTTGAAAAAAAAACTTGAGAAAATGTCTTGCGAATCGGTACGCATTGAATGACAAATATAAACATCTTTATTTTAAAGATTGTTTAAAGAGGAACATGAAACTGTAAACTGTGATAAATTGCGATATTTTACTATATTGAATAGGCGAATGAAAAGTCTTATGTCCAGCAGTGGACTATTAAAGGCTGTTGATGATGATGATGATGATGAATGAAAAGTTTCTTGTTTCGTAAATAGGAGGTATGTAATGTTTGGTAACACAACTGCACTGAAATTGCTGTAACGCAAAATTGTAGACCAGTTAATAAATAGCCACTCACCCGGTCTGATATATTTTAACCTTTATAGCTCCAGACGCGGATGTCATTCCGTCGTCGTATTCGTGAAAACCTAACTACTATAAGTCGTCAATAGAAGACCTGAAACCATTAATTGATTGAAGTTCCAGGAACCGACAGCAATACGTGTCTGACGTACACGTATTTCAGAGAAGTTAGTTTCGAGACTAAGTATATTAATACGTGCATTTATGTACTTACTCGTAATAGTTTGAAATTTGGCTAGAAATACAAAAACCTTAACTGGGATTGGTTTTGGGCAATCTTTAAGTATTTATAGGTAATATTAAGAAGTAATTTAATCAATTTATATAATAATAAGATTTATTATAATTATACTGCCCTAGTCGTATTAGTCTACTAGGTGACTACACATAACCAAAATCACACCGACGTATCAGTCTCACGTCCTTCTTATTAAAGGTTCTTGAGAGGATAAAATTGCCTTGGTGGCGCAGTAGTAGCGTATGCGACTGCTGTTCTAAGGTTCGGTTCGATTCCCGGGTCGGACGAAATGTATGTATGCTCTGCAAATATTTATTTCGGAGTTTGGGTGTTTTCTATGTATAATATGTACATATTTACAAAAAAAAAGTATATAAGTATTCGATGAGTCAATTAAGCTTACATTGTACAAGCTCTGCTTAGTTTGAAACTAGATGTCGTTGTGTATTAGATGTCCGAAATATTATAAGTAAATAGATAGGGAAATTAGGAGCACTGCGTTAGTCAGTCACCCATTACACCACAATAAACACGCATACTCGATGAGTAAATCAACAGAATCAGCTCTACATCGAATAATATCACATATAGAAGGCAATCTAGAATACAAAAGATCAACACTGCACGATCGATATCAAAGGTGCCTTTCAAAATAAATTTCACCAGATTTAGCCAAGCTCTGGCTCTGTCATTCCACAATCTCAGGGTGGATCGACAGCATGCTACGATATAGAGACAAGAGGGTGCCCACAGGGTGTTGGACTCTCCCCCTTCTGTGGAACATTGTTGTGGATGAATTAATCACACAATTAAACGACCATAGATTCCTCATAATAGGCTACAAAGATCGTAGAACCGTGGTGTGTGACACACAACTTGACAGTGAACAGTATTTTACTCCGCCACAACGGCAATGTCAAAGGGTTTTTAGGACTACAACATCTGTATACTGTCATACAGCATGACCGTCCTAAAGGCGCTGGAGGGCAACAAAATGACCTTTGGTATTGTCTTCGAATGCCATCAAGCATTGAGCAGCTTGCCACAACAAACGGGGTACTCTTCCAATGGATTAAAGAACATAGTAATTCGCACGGGAATGAAGCTGTAGATGAGTTGGCATGAAGGGACTCGGCAACCCTGGCCGCCTGCCTAACCACACTCCTGCCACTGCCTTTTAACCAACTTCGATCCTAGGCTAGACAGCGTACTCACCCTGCTGCAGACTGTCCAAACTGGTGTTCACTTAAGTCTCGCCACGACTTACTTGCAGACTGATCGGTCTTAGCAGACTAGATATCCGAATAGTTGCAGGAACCATAACAGGACACCTAGCCCTGAACCGACAACTATTCATCATTAATGCGACGGACCGTTCTCTATGCAGGGGATGCCTGAAATCAGAAGAAACTCTCTTCTGCGCTACTGGAAGCCTCCGCTCCGCTTCTAGAAGAGGTTGGCTATGTGAGCCAACGAAGCTCGGTTGGCTCACATAGCCAACCTCTTCTAGACGCATAAAGGACCACTCTCGAGTCTAAATGCGGAAAAAGGAGCCCACAACCAATACCAATACCAATTTACTTAACATCTTTTGAGGCTATATTTATATGGAGATTGATAAATCTGGAAATACATATAGGGTTTAGATTGAATCCATAAGATTCAAAAGCAGGTTTATTCAGCTCGTTTAAAATATTTAATCGCAGTTCAAATATTGTGTTTTGCAAAATAATGTAATGTGGTATGTTATTTTTGGGTAGTCAGGTAGCTCTGAAGCTTTAGTTTGTTTATATTTTAGCGTTATAGTCAACGAAGACTAATCATCTGTACTAGCGTGCCGCTGACTCAGCGATTAGGATACAGCAAGGAGTAATAACACTGCAGATTACTGTTCCAAGTACAGGTTTATTTTTCTTACACAATATAGGTTATACAGCGATATCATTTGGTCTTAGAGAATCTTAATAGCGCGATTCACTCTCATAGCCGAGCGCCATCTCGTGGGAGTTCACACAAACAATAACACACTTACACTTAACACGTAATACAATTTAACAACTAAATTTGCTTATGTTGTTTCATAGTACTCTATGACAATATTAAACATTCCGCCCACCAAGAACCTATTTCCAATAGTCCTTTTTTAACAGACCGCCCACCATGCACAACTTTAATATATATGCCTTTGCGTAGGTTACAAAACTGAAATTGAAACACAACTAAGAAATATAACTACAAACTATTGAGTTACTGGTAAAATGCATAATTTTGAGGTAGGCCTTTTAATTAATGACGCCTTTGAACGCAATGTCACTACTCGAGTAATGTTGTCCTGTCCCGGGTGTTTTTCGACTATCCGTCCTAAAAGCCATTTGCTGGGAGGTAAGTCATCCTCTTTCACTACCACAACATCTCCGATATTTGGTTCAACCTGTTGACAGGACCATTTGTACCGATGAAGAAACCCGGCAAGGTACTCCTGCGACCAACGACGCCAGAAACTCTGCATCATTTTTTGGGTTAACTGCCACCTGCGCAAGTTGGACATTGAAGAAGTTTCAAAATTGTGATCCGGGACTGTGATCAAGGGCTCACCAATTAGGAAATGCCCCGGTGTTAGAACATCCAAGGCATCCGCCTCCGAGTTTAGTGTTGAAACAGGGCTAGAGTTGAGGCAAGCCTCAATTTGGGCTAAAACAGTAGATAACTCTTCATATGTTAGTGTATTGTCACCTATAACCCTCTTTAGATGAAATTTTACGGATTTGATACCCGCCTCCCACAATCCACCAAAATTCGGTGCCCGAGGCGGTATAAAATGCCAAGTCGTCCCGACTGTAGCTAACGCTTGAGAAATCTCTTGAATCAAGGTTGAATTTTCTGACTGACGCAAAGTTGGCAGTTCCTTGGCAGCTCCCACAAAGTTTGTCCCGTTGTCGCTCCAAACATCAGTGCATAGTCCCCGACGAGAGACAAATCTCTTAAACGCAGCCAGAAAACCTTCAGTGGTTAAGTCACTTACTACCTCAATATGCACAGCGCGAGTAGCCATACAAATAAATAGACAAATATAGCCTTTCTGTGCATGATGACCGCGACCTTTAGATGACCTAATATTGATTGGCCCCGCGTAATCAACCCCACAACTTTTGAATGGCCTTGAAGGCCTTGCACGTGCATCTGGTAACTGGCCCATTAGTTGGCTTGAAGTTTTTGCTACATTTCTGGCACAAGTAACACATTTTCTGACATGTGCCTTTACAAGACATTTGGCTCCAATTATATAATATTTAGAACTCAGAAATAACAACATCAACTGTGGGCCGCCATGAAGCGTTTTAGCATGGGCGTCCGATATAATCAAGTCTGTCAAATTGGACTTCTTCGGAATTAAAATTGGGTGTTTCATATTCTGAGAAAGATTAGAATTTTCCAATCTTCCTCCTACTCGTATAATCATTCTTCTGGCCTAAGGTTACCTTTGTACTGCTTTCCATTATCTGACTTGCATAATTTTAAGAATCGCCTACAATAAGCCAGAACCCTAATTAACTTAGCAAGAGATGAATATTTGCTCCATAATGGTTCCTCAGTTGTCGCAAGATGAGCACGCGATTGTTCCAAGGTGGTAACCAATCGATTAGGTTTATTGTACCGAATAACCTTTTCATTAAGGAATTCGGGGCCATTAAACCAAAAGGAACACTGTGCCAGTTCTGAGGGGCCAATACCTCTGGACCCCAAGTCTGCTGGATTATCTTTTGAGGAAACGTGCGACCATTGACTTGGATCCAAAGAAGTCAATATTTCGGAAACGCGATTAGCCACAAATGTCTTCCACCGATTCGGATGATCGCTAAGCCAGGCCAAAACAACTGTTGAATCCGTCCAAGCCTTAACGGTTGTAATATCCAGTCCCATAACAGTTGCCATTTCAATCAAAAGCCTGGTTAGCATTACGGCACCCCATAACTCCAAC